CAGCCTGAGTATCTGACCATAAGGACATCCTTGGCTGTTCTGGCAGAAGATGCTGGCTGTTGGAAACCAGCACCTCGAGAATGCCAATTTGGCAACTGCAAGTCCCTGAGAATTGAACCCTAGCTCTAATGCGTGGCCAGCCAACGCAGTTCTACTCTTTCCAGCTTCTCTTTTTACCCTTTTTTGTCAGTTTGCGTTTTCTAAGCTCCTTAAAACTGAGGTGCCCCTCACATACAAGTCATCTACCTTCCTGTTCACCCAGGAAACATTTTTTTCTTAACATTTTCTTAACAGTTTTATTTCAACATGAATTCAGTAAGCAAGCAAGCTGAACCCAGCATGTGCTTTGTTAAGAAGTCAGTCTAAGCATATGTTGGATTTCTGGTGTGTTGTGCTTTGATAGATGCACAGATTGTCAGAATGGGGGCGAGGGGAGGGAGAGAGAGAGATGCCATCATGGTTTATGTACCAAGTCATAAAACTCCAAGCTGGGTCACCATCTGGAACAGAGTCACAGATATTTTCTGGGGTAGATTGACAAAGCTGAAATCCATTAGTCCTTAAAGGACTCAACTTGTGAAGATTTCCTACTCAGTAAAAGTGCTCAGGATATGCTGGGGAAGTGTGACCTTGCTGTAATCTTGGTCAGCCTAAAGTTAACAAAGTTAGCCTCAGGTTTGAGTTTAGGTTTGGTTTGATTTTTACAGTGGTTCCACTGGGAATTCTACATGGCATCGGTATTGGACACTAGGAGTTGAAAATGACTTGATGGCACATGATCAAAGCTTTCTTACGGTTGGACTGAATCCCCAAGTTCCAACAATGGTGTTCCTCAAAGCTGTGTTCCCCTTTTCCACCATCACCACTACCCCAAATAGCTTTTTGGCCCTTCATGCTCATGTAGATGGTTCTGAACGCCCCATAGAAGATGGTTTTGGAGAAGAGGAGAAGCTGGTGGGAGAGGAGTTAAGCTAACGCAGTCAACTGAATCTGCTTTGGGTGCCAATTCTGAATTTCTGCTGAAGCCCGCGGTATTTCTCAGCTGGTTCCAAATGCTGGTGCCACGTTCCTTCCACAGGGTGGCAGCATTTGTCTGTGTTCTCCATGTGTTCGTGGAAAAATGAGAACCGTTTCCCCTAAAAATCAGGTGGAAGCCAACAAAGGATCAGCGCCAATTCCTCAATAAGCTCTTCCTGGGTCTCAAGGCTCTGTACCATCTGCTCTAGATAGGACAGCCAGAGTAGTTCTTATAATTTAGAGCAATGTTTCTCAAACTTGTCAACTTTAAGACGTGTGAACTTCAACTACCAGAATTCCCCAGCCAGTTGGCTGGGGAATTCTGGGAGTTGAAGTCCACACGTCTTAAAGTTGGCAAGTTTGAGAAACATTTAGAGCCTCTGAGGTATGGAGATGGATAATTTAATGGATGCAACGCTACAGCTAGGTGCATGGATGGTGCGTCAGTGTTTTACCAGGCCAACACTTCCCTTAATAAATGGACAATAAGCTTCATGATCTTCCACAGGGAAAGAAGGTGCGGCCGGTGACATGACATGCATCATGACAGTGTAGGAATGAGGCCCGTTGTGCAAGTTGCATCAGTCCCATCTTGCAACTGATGCAAATGACATCTCATTTGTGCAACGACATCCTCGCACCTTGTCATGGATGCTTGATCTTGTTAGTTGGGTCCAACCCTTCCCAAAACTCTGCATGTGTGATAGCAAGAGTATTAACAGTCCTGGCCTGCAGAGGGTTTCAGTGAAACCCCCCAAACCCTTGAATTTCAGAGCATGCTGCCACCCTCCCCCAAATGGAAAAGCTCTTCAAAAGAAGACTCAACCCCCGTTGACACCCAACATACTAAGTCAAATTCAAACACGCCACATTTTGCTTGCAACCTGTAATTTGCTCATTAGCTCGGGGGGGGACTCTGTCTCTCTCCTTTAGCCTTCAAAACCAACCTGGAAATCCATTTGTAAGCCGTCATCTGCCCTGGGAGGCGGGCAAGAATTTGGCTCAGGAGAAAGGAATCAAAATAAAATTGCAGCTTCAGACCTCAATGGCTTTTTTTCCTTGCATTGTTGCAGGATGAGTAGTTCCTGCCGCTGGAACTCACATTTTAAGAGGATTTTCTTTTTCTTTTCGATAGGAACTCGATTGCTCTGTGGACTCTACTGCTCATGAACCAGATTTGATAGCAAGCCATTTATTTAGGAGATGAGAGACCTTGGAAAGATGGAGCTGAAAAATAGTTTGAGTTTGGTGCAGTAGTTAAAGGCACCAGGCTAGAAAATGGGAGGCAGTGAGTTCTAGTCCTGCCTTAAACACGAAGCCAACTGGGTGACTTGGAGCCAGTCGCTCCCTTTCAGCCCTAAGAAGGTGCCAACAGCAAACCACTTCCCAAAATGTTGCCATTAAAACCGCAGGGACTTCTCCAGGCAGTTTCCTGGAGTCAAGACTGACTCAAAGGCACTAAATAAAGAATGGTGTCCTCTAAGTTTGACTAAGAGTATACTGAATAAGCAGTGTATTAAGTGTGTGCCATTTGAACCCAATCTGTAAAAATGACCCCACTGTGTGTTCAGTTTGTTCATTCTTGGTGGGCCAATCCTTCTACAGACATGGCACAAGTTGTGCAACCGAGAGAGAATTCAAAATGCGGCATCTCCACTGGTCCTGCAAGGGGAATGGCGAACTAGTCAAGAGGGAGGACAGGATGGGAGCTATTATGCTACAGTTTCCAGTGGTTTTCCCTAGTTACGTTTCCTGAGCCTGCAGGTGAGGACCGAAAATTTGAGACTATACTCCAGCATGCAGAAAAACCAATATGCAGACAGAAAGAACAGAGTCTCGGAGATAATTAATTAGCCAACAAATTCCTTTATTGAAAGCACAGAGAAGACACCAGCCACAGGCACTCCATGGCAGTGATCAGGTTTAATTCCCTGAGAACATTAATCCTTATTATTTCCCCCCACCTCCATTTTTTCTTTTCTTTTAATATATATATATATTTATAGAGAGACACACACACACACGCACGCGCACACACACTCACACACACACACAACTTTACAGAAAGCAAAAGAACTCTATGACATCCCAGATACTGGGATTTATAAATTACAAATAAGTGACAGCTACGTAAGACTTTTTCCATTTTTCGTTCTTTAAACAGACCAGAAAAAAGTTGTTTCTCTTTTTTTTTGCTGATCCACAGGAAAAAAAAAAATCACTTTTAAACCCACCATTGACAAAATTACACGGGACTCAATTTTTAACAAAAAGGCACAGTAAATAACACTGTCGCAATAAAATATTTACAAACACTACCCAGTATGGGCCTTTTTTTTTGTTTTTTTTGTTTTGTTTTCATTTGCAACAGAAGCTTTCAGCTCTCATTCTCTGCCTGGAGTCTAGGAAGAAAAGGCTATATGGTATTTTGCAGAAGAGTTCAATTCAGCTCCCGTGGTTGTGCAGGTTCAAATGACAGCCTTCGATCACCCACTGCAGAAAACGCTGCAGCCGAATAGCCCTGACCCACAAGCAGAGATGTTGCAGCGAAGGGAGACAGTGAATCAACACCATGTCCAACTTACAAGAGAAATACAAGGATGCCTCATCGCTTCCAACGTCTCTATAGTCCATTTAAATTAATAAAAATGTTTTCATTCATACCAACAACAGGATGTTGAGTCTGGATGTTGCTGCAAAAACATGTCAATTTTACAGACCCTGATTTAACAGACTTTGGATATAACAGACAATATCTGAATTTGGGTGGATTCAGCAAACAATAGATTGCTCTCCTGTTTAGTAAATCAATTCGGACCACCTGCATACATTTTTTTGTAAAATACATGTGACACAGACATGAACATCATGTAACATTTACAGACATTATGTAGAGTTGGGTTTAATGAACATTTGGCTTTAATGGACACTGGTTCCTCCCAATTGGTCCATAAAATTAAAGACTTACTTACAGTAAGTAAAATTAAATATTACTTAAATTACTTACTTAAATATTTGTTTAGTTGGGGCCCTGTGTGATGGGCCACAATTTTGTGCTTTTCTGGGAACCAATCCCATTCAACATGGTGGAACTTCCTCCTGAGTAAACTCCACAGAGGATTGCTATTATATATATTTAGTATAATCAAAATAATTGCATTTTCAAAGGGTCTAAAATTCTGAATATACATAAGCTTCAGTTGTCATTCTTATAAACCAGTGTTTCTCAACCTTGGCCACTTGAAGATGGGTGGATTTCCAACACCCAGAATTCTCCAGCCAGCCATGCTGGCTGGGGAATTCTTGGCATTGAAGTCCACCCATCCTCAAGTGGCCAAGGGTGAGAAAAACTGTTATAGTCACTTGTGCAGCAAGACAGAACTACAACTGCAGACAGCAGCTTACAACACCCATTAAATGAGCGTTTGGAAAAATTAAGATTGGAATCGAGGATTTCTGGAGCTGTAGCCGAGTCATCTGCAATCAGCTTTGTGGATAAACTTGGGA